GTAAATGTGTTTCTTCACAGCCCCTGCAAATATATATATATGTTCAAGGTATGAAAGAAGATATTTTATCTGGACACCAGATAAAATATCAAAATGTTCTGGAACGGCTAACAAAAATTGTTGGAAATGTAAGAGCAAAGTGGGCACATTTATACATGTTTGGTGGAGATGTGGGAGAATCCAAAACTATTGGATTAAAATATACAAGGCATTAAAAGAGATTACACCATTAGATATACCATCTTTACCGGAAGTAGCTCTACTAAATATGCTACCAAATAATTATAGTAGCGAGAATAAATATTTAATAAGTTACACATTTACTGCGGCAAGAATTTTATTAGCAAAATACTGGAAAGAAGAAAAAATCCCCCCCAAGGAAGAACCGTTAGACAAAATGTTATCATTAGCAGAGATGGACAGATTAAGTGTACTTTTCCAAGGAAAAGACTATGAGATATTTGTAAAAAGATGGAAGAAGTTTTATGTATGGGTAAAAAGGTAAAGGTAAAGGTTCCCTTGCTCGAAAGCCAGTCGAGTCCGACTCTAGGGTTGCGGTGCTCATCTCCGTTTCAAAGCCGAAGAGCCAGCGCTGTCCGAAGACGTCTCCGTGGTCATGTGGCCGGCATGACTAAACACCAAGGCGCACGGAACGCTGTTACCTTCCCACCGAAGTGGTACCTATTTATCTATTTGCAATTTCTTGCTTTCGAACTGCTAGGTTGGCAGGAGCTGGAACTAGAGACGGGAGCTCACTCCGTCATGCGGCACACTCGGGTCTTGAACTGCTGAACTACTGACCTTCCACAGCCTGCAGTTCCGCGTCTTAACCACTTGAGCCACCAGAAGGGGGAAAAAAGTGACTCGCAAGGATAAATGTATTGTATCTGATATGTGGATATGTGTGATATAAACAATAAATAACCAGTTTTTAAAAGAAATATGAAAGAAGAAGTGGCTCAAACAGACAAGGGGTCCCTCAGCTGTATGGGCACACTGTGCCATCAGTAAAGCAAAGAGAAAACAAAGCCAAAAACACACCAAGCCCTGATATAAATTCCGTGGTAAGCGCGAAGGGAATATCTCTCTCCCACGAGACAGAGCACAGTCAGCAATCCGGCGCACATCTCCAGTTGAAAGGGACCTGGGCGCAGTGACGCGAAAGACCCCTGCCCGAGACCCTGGAGAGCCACTGCCTCTCTGAACAGACAATACCGACCTTGATGGACCGAAGGTCTGATTCTGTGCAAAGGAGCGTCATGTGTTTCATCGGCCCAGACGGCCCCGCCTCGCCACACAAATATCTCTCCCGCTCCCGCTCTTTCCCACTTGTCGGTCCAAGTCGATTGGTGACCCCTGCATCAAGAAGACTCTGCATCTTGGCCCTGACCCAGATAGCCCCAAGGCCAGCCCGATCTCGTCAGATCTCGGAAGCTACGTGGGGTCGACCCTGGCAAGTGCTTGGATGGGAGACTTCCAAGGAATACCAGCCGTCGGGAGGCAGGGGCAGGCTTCATTCAGCCGCCTCTCTGGAAATCCTCCAGGCCCCCAGCAGGGGTCAGTCACCAGAGGTCGCCATGGCTTCCAGGCACACGCCCACACCCACACACCAATGCTCCCTCTAAGCTGCAGAGTCCTGTGAGCAAAAATCCTACTTTGTGAGCTGCTGGCATTAAAATTGTGAGCAGGTGATTTGGCTACTGCATGAATTAGTTTGCTCTGGAGCCCCATCCCTCCTGAGCCGAGACACCAACCCCCCCCCCCAAAAAAAGAAAACCCTGCATCTCCCTGTCTGGTTGAGTTGTATGTCAGTTATTTATTTCCTGAAGCCATACAAGCAGTTACAATAGAAGAAAGGGAGCGTCTACCCCAAAATCATATGCCTCCAAGCAATGCTCCCTCTAAGCTGTGGAGTCTTGCGAGCAAAAATTCTGCTTTGTGAGCTACCGGCATTAAAGTTGTGAGCGAGCGATTTGGCTGCTGCATGAATCAGTTTGCTCTGGAGCCCCATCCTTCCTGAGCGAAGACGAAAATATGTGAGCCGGAGGCTAAGAAACTGTGAGCTGGCTCACACTGACTCGGTTTAGAGGGATCACTGCCTCCAAATGGAAATCTGCTGTTGTCTGAAAGAAGTTCAGCCACGCTCTTGTAGATGCAGCTGTATTTTTTGAGTACTGGCAATATCTTAAGAACACTACCGCTTCTCTTAAAGCCCATCTGGCAGCAGTTGCCGCTTTCCCATGAGCCCTTTGGAAAGTAAGGAAAGGATTGAGAAATTTCCTCGAAGGCTTGACGAAAGCGACCACCTTTCACGGTCCGGTCCCTCAATGAAGCGTATCCTAGTTCCAGCTAGATTAACGTCAAACCCTTCTGAGCCTCCGGCTCCACGCTCTCCCGGTTGCTTACAGCAGAAACATCATTTTAAATTGCAATTACCTCTGCCTGTCGAGTTAATGCATTAACATTCGTTGACACATGACCCACCTTGTTTTGAAATGACATAATTATAAGTTGGTCTAAACTCCCAGCATGGAATTCTTAAAGCAGTCGAGCCATTCCACGCTAACCAGGATATGGCATTACCGATCTTCTTTCCTTCCGAGAGCCAGTCTGGTGCAGTGGTTAAGTCTGCGGACTCTAATCTGGGAGAGCCGAGTTTGATTCCCCACTCCTCCACTTGCACCTGGCTGGATGACCTTGGGCAAGCCGTAGTTCTGATAAGAGCTGTTCTTGAAAAAGAGTCATTTCTGTCAGAGCTCTCTCAGCCCCACCTACCTCACAGGGGGTGTCTGTTGTGGGGAGGGGAAGGGAAAGGAGTTTGTAAGCCGCTCTGAGACACCTTTGGGTAGTGAAGGGCGGGGTAGAAATCCAATCTCTTCTTCTGCTCTTCTTCTTCCTCATCTTACTGATCTCTCCTTGGGCATGGAACATGCTTTACTGATGACGAACTGAAGCATTCAGAAAAGATCCATATTTTCTCACTTGCTGCAGAGGCCTGGAACCCGAGCTTAAGGCATATTCTGTTGGGATCGTCTTCCCGAAATAATTGTGCTCACTTCATCAGGGCTTGGGGTAGCCCCATAGACCACATCTCTAAAAGCTGCCATTTGGTCTCGTGCCTTAGCATTCATCAGGCTCTACTCCGATAGACGTCAATCCCAGAAGAAACAGACGTAGGCAAAATAGACTATGTGGTTCGTTCACCGAGCAGCTCAAGCGGTTGTCTGTGTGGCCCTGCATCCCCCTCCTTCCCACCCTACAGGCCATCTAGTCCAACTCCTCCTGCTCAGTGGAGGCTCAGCCTACAGCAGTGGTGGCGAACCTATGGCACGGGGGCCAGAGGTGGCACTCAGAGCCCTCTCTGTGGGCACGCGTGCCGTCGCCCCAGCCAGGCCCAGACCATCATTAAAGTGTCGGATTCTCTGTCAAATAATTTCAAGTAAATGAAAGCATTTGGGATTGCTTTCCTTACTTTGTTTGGATCATCTTAAGTTAATGTATGAGTTGTTTTTTTCTAAAGTAAAACCTCAGTATTCAGGTTAAATTGCCGAGTTGGCACTTTGCGATCAATAAGTGGGTTTTGGGTCGCAGTTTGGGCACGCGGGCTCTAAAAGGTTCGCCATCACTGTGCTGCTGAAAGACGGCCGGTGAGGGGGAGCTCACCATCTCCCGAGGCAGCCGCTTCCACTGTTGCAAAACTCTGACTCTAAAAAAGCTTCTCCTAGCACTGTAACCAAAGAATTTTCACAGTAAGACGGAGGCAACTGGGCACGCCCTTCCCGCCCTCACTGAAGGTTTTCCCACTACCTCTTGGATCACTGTTAGGAAGGGAGAAGAGCCTCTTGAGCTCTGGAACTTCCTGTGGCTGGCCTTGCGCATGCGCAGTTCGGCTGTCCAGATGGCCACATAATGGACACCAGGCACAAGTAAGTGCAGGAGTGTCTTGTGAAACACACCAAAGGGTTCCCTCCCCGGCAGTTTTCCCCTACATAGGCCAGCCCGATCTCGTCAGATCTCAGTTCTCTTTAGCTTGGAGAAACGACGACTGAGGGGTGACATGATTGAGGTTTATAAGATTATGCCTGGGATAGAGCAGGTGGAGAGAGAGGTCCTTTTCTCCCTTTCTCACAATACAAGAACCCGTGGGCACTCCATGAAATTGCTGAGCGGTCGGGTTAGAACGGAGAAAAGGAAGTCCTTCTTCACCTAAAGAGTGATGAACACTTGGAATTCACTGCCACAGGAAGTGGTGGCGGCTACAGGCATGGACGGCTTCAGGAGGGAATTAGATAAGCATATGGAGCAGAGGTCCATCAGTGGCTGTTAGCCACATGGTATAGATAGGGACTCTGGGGCAAGGGATGCTCTGTCTTCTTGGTTCTTGGGGGGGGTCAACAGTGGGAGGGCTTCTAGTGTCCCGGCCCCACTGGTGGACCTCCTGATGGCAACTGGTTTTTTTGGTCACTGTGTGATACAGAGTGTTGGACTGGATGGGCCTTTGGCCTGATCCAACATTGGCTTCTCCTATGTTCTTATAAGAGGGAATTAGATAAGCATATGGAGCAGAGGTCCATCAGTGGCTATTAGCCACAAGGGATAGATAGGGACTCTGGGGCAAGGGATGCTCTGTCTTCTTGGCGCTTGGTGGGGGGTCAACAGTGGGAGGGCTTCTAATGTCCTGGCCCCACTGGTGGACCTCCTGATGGCACCTGGTATTTCTGGCCACTGTGTGACAGAGTGTTGGACTGGATGGGCCTTTGGCCTGATCCAACATTGGCGTCTCTTATGTTCTTAGAAGCTAAGCAGGGCCGGCCCTGGCTAGGGTCCAGGGGTTGCCGTAAGTGAGGTGTGACTCAATGCCTCTTTCCGTCACCTTTATAGTCCGTTTGTGTTTTGCTCATAAGGAACACCTTCATGCATTACAAGAATAAAACAGGATAACCAGAACCAGATATGAACTTTTGATCGCCGTGTCTTCTTTTGTCTCTCCTTTTTTGCAGATACTCTGAACTATTACTTGGTCTGCAGTGCTGGCTCCCCAAATCCCTTCCAGCAGGTGAGTGGTGACATCCCCTTCCCCACGCATTGTTCCCTCTAAGCTGGGTAAGTGTGAGCCAGCTCACAGTTTTTTAGCCTCCAGCTCACCCATTTTTGGTCTTCGCTCAGGGAGGATGGCTCCAGAGCAAACTGATTTATGCAGTAGCCAAATGGCTCGCCCACAATTTTAATGCCAGTGACTCACAAAGTAGACTTTTTGCTCACAAGACTCCACAGCTTAGAGGGAGCATTGCGTCCCACGCGCGCACATCCCCTTTCATTAAGCTATTCTTCAGCATGACTGGAAGTCTGAGCGGCGAGTCATCAGCCTGGCTTCTTCCAAACATGGGGAGTATTTTTAGTATTTGTGCGTTCAATCTTCCAATAAAGAAAGGGCGTGGGCTTTAATGAGAGTGATGGATGGAGGACGGACCACAGTTCTCCCTCCATAGCGTGCGGCCGTGCAGTCCCAGACTATGACCTCATCTTCTTGCAAGACCAACGATAAGCGGGATTGATCGGTGTCTGGGGTGGGCAGAAACAAAGAAAGGTGTCGAATCCTGTTTAAAGAGGGCGAGGGCTGTACAGTGGCAGCAGAGCTGTGCTGTCAGACACAGCCAGTCGCCAGAATTCCAGAAAGCGGGACCAGCTCGGATCAGAGACTGGATCGGACGAGTAATGGCCTGGAGGGGAGGGGAGAAGCGGTAGGCAGAGGAAGTCGGGAGAAATCTTCTCACCCATCTCGTTTCTGGTAGGAGTCACCTCCCTGCCCTGCTTCGTATGCATTTGGCGGGGACGTACGCTCGAAGACACAGGCCTGCTAATGTTCTGTGTAGTTCTGTCCCGCGGCGGGGCTTGTGGGAGACATTTGGGGCTTTGAGCAGAAAGTTCTCACGCTCAGAAGGAGTGCTCCCTGTTGGGTTGCCAACCTCCAGGTAGCACCTACGATTGATCTCCAGGCGGCCAAGATCAGTTCTCCTGGAGGAAACGGCTACTTTGGAGGGTGGCGTCTGTGGTAGCATTCGCCACTGGGGCCCCTGGCCTCCCCCGGCCCCACCCCCCAGAATCTCCAGGTATATCCCAACCCGGATCTGGCAACCCCGGCTGTCCACCAGAATGGCCATATCCTCTTCACTTCCATTCGTGGGGCCTGCGGGGTTAGAGTTACAGTCCTGCACGGCTCAGCCTCCCTCCCGAGTGGTCAGGCTGCCTAATGCCCTGGCTGAGGAGCTCTTACCTGGAGCATGAAGTCAGAAATGCAAACAGAGATGCAGCCACGAATTGTGTCATCTCGCTCGATCGCTTTTCCGTTGGACACCACTCCTTCCATACCTTCTTCTTTAAAAGACATTCAGCTCTTTAGTGCTGTTGTTCTCGTGGTTATCATTCTTGGCAGAAGGATCGTAGAATCATAGAGTTGGAAGGGACCTATAGGGTCATCTAGTCCAACCCCCTGCACAATGCAGGATATTCACAAATACCTCCCCCCCACACACACACCCAGTGACCCCTGGTCTATGTCCAGAAGATGGCAAAAAAGCCTCCAGGATCTCTGGCCAAAGTGGCCTTGGGGAAAATGGCTTCCTGACCCCAAAGTGGCGATCAGCCTTTCCCTGGGCGTGCAAGAAAGGGCTAGGAGAACTAAGCACTGATGCAACCCTTCCTGCCCCCCCCCCTTCTTGTGATCTGTCTAAGTTCACAGGATCAGCATTGCTGTCAGGTGGCCATCTAGTGGTGTTATGATTGAAATTACGCTTCGGCAAGCCATAGCACAGATCTGTGTTTTTATTTATCTGGGCATTTATACCCTCACCTCTCCCTGCACTCCAGTTGGCCCTGGTTTGCCTGGTTTGCCACTTGTACGGCTGTGGAGAGGAAAGCACTCCAGAGAGTTGTTATTACAGCCCAGAAGATCATTGGCTGCCCTCTCCCATTCCTGGAGGAATTGTATAGTTCTCGATGTTTGAAAAAAGCAAAGAACATCTTGCAGGATTTGTCACATCCTGAACATTCCCTGTTTGAACGGCTGCCTTCCGGCAGAAGATATAGGGCAATTAAAGCAAGGACAAAATAGATTAAAGAATAGTTTTTATTCGAGAGCTATCATTGCCTTAAATGCAGTATGAAATTGGAATTTGGGTGACATTGGTGGTTTTAAGTTGCTACGTGAACCTTAAGGGAGTTGTGGGACAGTTGTGAATGGTGTGTGAGTGTATATGAATATTGTTGTAGATCACCGAAATGATTGCATCTTTAATGTCATTGTACTATGTACAATGACAATAAAGTTGTTTATTATTATTATTATATTATTATTATTATTATTATCCATCTTTGTAATTGGCTGGTGCTTGACCCTTTAAGGGATGGCCTTCGGGTCGCTTCCGAGAGAATATTCTTCCTTCTCATGCTGGTTAGCGGCTCTTATCTTGGAAGCCTGACTTGCTTCCTCTCGCCCCTTCATTCCCGCTGTGAGACGGCCTGGCTCATCCTAGTGTTTTGGATAGCTCAAGTAATGATTTTTTGACCCGTAGCCCGCAATTAGGGTATAAGATGTTCAGTTTTACCAACGCATCTCGTCTCGCGGTCTGGCTCAGTTTCGCCGTGCGTGCATGTGTGTGCGAGACCCAGCAGGTGAGACCTCAGCCTGCCACGTCTGTAAGCTTGATCGTTGCTTATCAAAATATCTTCATAAAGAAACCTGAGATGTTGCGTATTGTTTCCTTGGGATTTCTGTGAACCTGGATCTCCTAGCCAGAGCCACAAACAGGTTCACGGAAGTGATTGATAAATACAGTCTGATGGACTATACCATTAAAAAAATTCAATAGCTAACTGTGTGTGAACTGGCAAAATCCAGTTGGAAAGTGGATTAAAAGTGGATTATTTAGCGTGTGTGACCGCAGCATCCGTCTGCTGAAATAAAAGTACAGCCCATTCCAACGCACCTTTCCGTAAAGTATCTCATCACTCACAAGATCCAAGCGTGTTTAGAAGGGACAGTTTTTACAGGTTCTGTGGAAGATATTCCACTTACTAGATAAACTCCTACAATTTGCTGAAGTTTCTTTCATTGAATGTTTCGTTCCTCCCCCCCCCCCCCCCGAAGTCGATGGGTTTAAGAGACGCAGAATCTTGAAGGAAGATTAATGGAACTCAGGTTAAGATTTTCAAAACAAAGGCATGTATGGGGGTGGGGAGGAAGGAAATGTGAAACCTGTTGTGATCATAGAATCATAGCATGTTAGAGTTGGAAGGGACCTTGCAGGTCATCTAGTCCAACCCCCTGCACTCTGCAGGAGCATAGCCGAAAGATAGCCCTACATACCCAAAACATACTCGAAAGATGGTCGTCCAGCCTCCGCTTGAAAACGTCCAGCGAAGGAGCATCCACCCCCACCCCCCCGAGGCAGACTGTTCCACGGCTCAACCACTCTTATCGTTAGGAAGTCTCTCCTGATATGTAGCCGGTAACGACTCCCTTGTCATTTCCACCCATTAGATCTAGTCTTGCAATCCGGAGCAAGAGAGAATAGATCTGCTCCATCTTCTACATGACAGCCCTTCAAATACTTGAAGACGGCAATCCTGTCCCCTCTAAGCCTTCTCTTTCCCAGGCTAAACAGACCCAACTCTTTCAGCCTTTCCTCGTAAGACTTGGACTCCAGCCCTCTCACCATCCTGCTTGCCCTCTTCTGGACACGCTCCAGAATCTACAGCTTGGTGTTTTTTAGAAACCTTCGCGCCTTTTTACCATTTGTCACTTTGCTTGGTTCTGTTCTAGAGCGCGCTCCCTTCCTCCAGACTCTTTATTTCCTCCAAACTGATTCCTTATGCCTATTTCTGCAGAACCCAGCAAGATGCTCAGGGACCCACGACTTGGAACGAAACAGGGCATGCACAACTGCTTGCTTGTGCCTGGACAGACAGTTCCTCAATAATTCAGGATAGCTTTGCCACTCACAGCTCAGTCGTGGCGGGGGGGGGCGGCTTCCCTCGGGCCACCCCCGAGGACTGAGATGCCATGTTTTTGTGTCCCAAGCAGAAGCTGTCAGGAAGCCACAAAGCCCTGGTGGAGATGCAAGACGACGTGCTGGAGCTGATGAGGTCGGCCGTCAGGGAGTACCCCACCTCCAAGGTAAATCTGGACGAGCGCGTCTCTATAGAAGCCATATAGGTGGCCAAACGGCAGCTCGGGAGCCGCATGTGGCTCTTTCGCACAGTCTAATTTAATGTTAATATAAAGCAAATTTGCATATTTTTCAGTAAAAACAAGTGTGTTGTATTTGTTCGTGTCTTGCGGCTCTCAAACATCTGACGTTTATTCTGCGTGGCTGTTACGTTGAGCAAGTTTGGCCACCCCTGTTATAGACACAGACACAGACACACACATATATATAGATTACGGCTGCTTTCTTTCCCGTCTGCTGGCCTTTGCAACCCACATGCAAAGGGGTACAGCTCATATAGTCAACAACAAATAATGAATAACCGATAAGCTGTAGATAATGCAAAAAGCATTTATAATCTTACAAAATTACAGAAATTCTTAGATTCAAAGCATATAATGCAATCTTTTATGTAATTCCAGATGGATGAACTTCTCCGGAGTTAAACTTCCATTTCATAAGAAGAACGTCTTCCAAACATCAAAATCTCAGCAGTCGTCTCTTCTCATTCCATGGTTATATCCATTACAATTCATCAATTTGAGCCAGTTTCGTGTAGTGGTTAAGTGTGCGGACTCTAATCTGGGAGAACCAGGTTTGATTCCCCACTCCACTTACACCTGCTGATGTGACCTTGGGTCAGTCACAAGCTCTGGCACAGCTGTTCCTGAAAGAGCAGTTTGTGTCAGAGTTCTCTCAGCCCCACCTACCTCACAGTGTGTCTGTTGTGGGGAGGGGAAGGGAAAGGAGTTTGTAAGCCGCTCTGAGACTCCAAGTGAAGGGCG